GCGACTCATAAGACGAGCGCATGGATCGCGACAGATTGTGTTTTATGAGGTTTGAGCTAAATCGAAGAAAATTATCTTCATTGTACTTTATTATAATGGGTTTATGCCATCAGGTCACCGAAATATCGTGGAAATGGTTTGCTTCTTTGCATTGCTTTCTATAGTGAAACTCTTTTTCTTTAATATCATATTATTGATTTGAATTCTAGTATTTGTGAAACATTTTGAGAAGGAGGGGGTGGTCACGTGCGCACGCGCAGAAATTAAGTTCTAAGCGACGATAACATTGCACGCTAAAAACGCAAAGGCCCATAGGTAGACACTTGTTTGTTGGCAACGGCACGCTACGACCACCTGTCGCATGCGACTCCCCGCGCCGCGCATGTGCGACATTTGTACTGATGAATATTGGTTTCCCACAGTTCAATGCGTTGGAAATCACAAGTAGGAGTTTTGACCTGGGCACGACGTGCGCTAGTTACCGCCAGTGACACCTTCGATAACTACCAATCACCAAAGAAATTACCTAGTTAAAGCTCGGCAACGTCTCAGTTTGTACTTGTTGGTCTGCGCAACAGTCGAAGTCGCCATCTTTGTTCATATGAGATCCATATCTCGCACATGCGTGGCGCGACGACCACCGCCCTTTAAATTGTCGCGTTGAATTACGCGTACACAAACAAACAAACAATGCGACTGTTTGTACACGCTTACGAACTGTACTTGCGTAAACAAATTCAAATCCATTCAAAAAAGCAAGACATTTGTAATAATAGTCACAGCATTAAGTGTTAGCATCTGTATTTGTAATAATAGTCATAACATTAATTGTTCGCAACTGTATTTCATGTATTTCACTTTTTGTTATAAACCCTGTGGGGCCTGGAGTTGACGATGTTTTGCCGCCGGCAACAAAACGACCTTTTGTAGTAAACACCGTTTAGCAAACATACATCCGGTGTTATTTCGGCGGCAGATAGGTGTAACTGGCAACGATCCAAGCATGCTAACCAATGTCTTTCCTATTAGGGTGGTTGATTTGAAATACCTTTGTTGGCCACCCCTTCTACTCTCTCCCTAATAAAATAGATGGCCTAGATAAAAATCACGATAACAAATGATTCCAACCGTTCAGAAAAGTTGATATTTCTAATTTGCCTATACTGTTCATATTCGCTGGCTGTATCGATATATCGATATGCGCACGGATAGGCTCGCCTTACTTGACGGCGTTTAAAACGATACCACCAACCGAGCGTCGCATCACGCACCGTTTTTGTGTATCGACATTAGCTTTCTATCGCGCTATCATCAAGCTCACCGTTCCCAGGACGACAAATTTTCAAGTTCAATCACCCAGAATGCCGATATAATGGGCTGTGTCTGAAATCCACACATCCTACACTCGTGTCCTTTCAATTTGTGAACAATGAAAGTTCGTACACCTTTGCAGTCTACAGTACGCTTGAGAAGTGACACAGTAAACAAACACACAGCTGCATCTCTCAAATCAATATACCTTTCCTTTCGCACTACTGATAACTCTTATCCATATTTCATCATTCGTTTAATTCACTTTGAACTCACCGTGTACCTCAGATTGAACGTCGATTTGTCTTCAACTATCTCTCTGCGTATGATGATGGCACCTTTTCCGTCTGTTGCCATGGTGATTTTTCTTTACCTGCGCATATCAGACGAAGCACGTGACATTCGTTTCTACACGTAGACTCGGGTTCACAGATAGTTCATTTATTTGTACTAGTAACTTTCAGTGCATATTCATATATGCGATTTAATACACTTTCATGCGTTTGTAACATGTGCTAGCACCAATGTGTTATCATGTGATTCGAATAAAAAACAGTCGCGGATATCCGAGTGTCCCGCCGGTCGGTGTAGTTTGCTCCCAGGTTTACTATAAGGGGGGGGGGGCAAAGGTTATTTTCGTTCAACGTAATTGCAATATTGTTTTGTTCGTACAACGTAAATTGAAAAAAATTAATTCCGTAATTCTGTAATCACAGGCTAAACGTACAACGTAATCAATCAAATATTTTTACGTGCACTATACAAATGTGTCATTTTTCTCGGTACGTACAAGAATTTACATCCAAATAAAATTACATTTTCGAAACTGTAAAACGACTAGATGACACAATTCACTTCAAAATTCAATTTTCACTGTAAACTGAAAAAACTTCTTTTTTTTCCTTGTAAATTGTAAAAAGCCCTTTTTATTTTCCGTAAAACTGTACCAGCTACCCCCTTGCCCCTCCTCTATAAACGTTATACATTGTATACGATTGTAAACGGAATTAATGTTATTGTTCAAATTATTCTTTACATTGCTGACAATACAGTCTGACAACACAGAGCTCGGTTTGAGCCACAACAATGCGACAGGGATTACAACAGGAACTACAACAGCCTAAACCACGTGCTATGCACTATACAGAGGGCAACCGGTAAATGTACGCAGCATGACCAATTCATCACGCCAGTACAGTCATGCAATTTAATTGCTGATTTGCAGAATACACTTGAACGCGGTTTAGTGACTAACAGCGTGGAAAACAAAGCGTAAATGGGTATGCAACATGCGCTTAAAATAAAATCTGTTATTACGACCGACCGACCGACGATGCATATTAAATTAGCGGATTTTTCCACTCGTCACGGGAGTATCAATATTTCTCTTGCGACGAAATACAACTCAGGATTAACGTACCTGTCGGGGATATATGTGAAGTACATCAGTACGACCCAGCACCAATAACGAATTTCTTACGGACACAGGTTCGTCTATTTCGCTGAATAATCGGCGCGTACATTCAAATTGCGGTATATATATTACTGTACTGAATTCTATCCGTGACGTCACGGAGGAACAAACCATTTCATTTTGAGACATTGCATCGTCTTTTTACTTAAGCACTCTCGTGCTTATTTTAAAGTTATTGATTAAGCCGATAGAAAACGAGTAAAAATGACCAACAGCATTGTCGTTTTTTTGAATAAACTAAAAAACCGGACCTGAATTACGATGTGCATTATGAAAATGGTTAAGTCCCGATTGCCGGGGAATCCCCAGTTTTCGATACATTGGTTCAGGGGTCGACATTCGTCTGCATTTGAGTACTTACTGAAACCGCGGGAAAACCGTAATGCAAATAAATGTTATCGGTTAGTTAAACCTCCCAAATGCGGTTTTAAGATGAATATGATTAAGAACCAACTGTAATAATCTAACAACACAGACGTTTAATATATATTATGTCTTTGGTTTTTTTAAATATCTTAATTTTTGTAGATCGACAACATAGATTTTAAAAATAAAATTAATACCTCCAACCGCGATCGCGAAGCTGTGACGACTGAATCTGGCCGATAGCACAGTATCACTACGAATTATATTATACCAGTATATGAGTGCAATGCAGTATTTTGATTGGACGATGCCGTTTTAATTTATGCAAGCCGTAGTATAATGATGCGCCGTTATGATTTCGAAATTAAGCCCCGGAGTATGAATAACAAATATAGATACTGAATCAATATCTTTCGAAAATTGGATTTTTTTTTTCATAACGAAGCAAAATGATGGACATTATGGTATCTAGACAGTTTCCTAGACGGGGTAGTCCCTTTACCGAAACAGGTAAACGAAACCAGTATAAATTCTAGTTCATCCCTTCTGTCAATGCACTGAGTCTGTGAGGAAGCGGTGCGCGGCGCTTAATATGTTTATTACAATAACATCAAATCTATCAAAGTATGCTCAAAGGAACACAATTCCAAAACGAGCTTAATTTTGCACAAACATTCTCTTCACGCAGTTGATCGTTCAAATATGATTTCCCTAGAAAATCAAAAGAAACGCCCCTGTGTGCAATATCGGTTTTCATCGTGTTTGTTAACGCGTCACGTGACTACC